GGCTACACTGGCGAGTCCTCTGTGCAGGCTGCCTCCTTTGACTGGGCAAAGCGTGCTTAGAATATTTAATAGAGCCCGTTATGGTTGAATTAGACTGGATGATAGGTGCCAGATACGCTGGAGCGAAGAGGTTTTCCTGCTGCGTGAATGCACAGGAGTTTTCAGACTTTTTTGCTCCAGTTTCATGAATTATTTTGTTGCCGTGTGCCTTTGAGTGTGAAACACCATAATCTCGGCCACTCTTCAGTTCCATTTTCTCCAAGTCGGTTGATCAAATCGGCAGAGCATGCTGTCATTGGCGCAAAACGGCCGGCGACAGCGATCACCGTGTGTGTCTCCCCTTGCAATGTGTCCAGAGTAATTGAAACCCGAGAGCGAAGGATCTAGAATTTACATTTCAAGCGGGTGCAGGTGCCACGTGCGAAGTCCTTTTTGCAAGACATTTTGCAAACTCTAAATCCAGAAATGAAGCTTGGCAGCACCTCAAATCACCTCAAGGCCATCCCAGCATGTCAGCACGGACTATACTGGAACTCTGCATCACTTTGGTCAGGAACCCAGGTGGCTACCGGATTTGCCAAGATGAGATGGCACGCATAGGAGGCTTGGTATTGATGGTGGAGTTCTTGGTACAATGTGCCGTTCACTCCCTGACATACATGCAGGCATGCATGCACGTGCACGCCCAGTAATCTGGGGTCATATCTGGCCATCAAGTTTGACTTGCATATAGGCAACCGGCATGTTTGATGGAGTGTGAAACGTGCACTCTGAAGGTGCTCAGGTCCTGATCCAGACCGTGGCCAGTCAGAATGAAACTTGATCAATTTGAGCGCTTCACTGTGTCCGGGAGTTAGTTGTTTTTTCCCGGTCGAACTCAAGGAACAAGAAAAAAGGAACAACAGATAAAGCAACCTGTTCGCGCCGAGAGATCCCTGCCCAGGATTTGTTGAGAAGCTTGGCCTTGGAAGCGTTAGCACGAATGATGTTACGTGGCACGAGAATCAGGTGATTCATCAAAATTGTAAGCCGCGATACCGTATACAGTACCTCTAGACTCTATCAACAAGCATGCTTTCAGGGTACGCCAAGCTGATGTTATAGTATTGCTAATTCTACATTTCATTACATCTCCATATATATATATATATCAAGGTCATACGTGCAGAGAAAGGCACAACGATTTGAAGAGGCTGCGGGTTGAATCATGCATTCTCTTCTCTGAGGTCCCTAAATTCACCCAAAGGCAATTCTACGGGTGTTTTGTTGCTCATTCGGAAACATTGCTAAACGTTCAGACATCCTTAGGTTTGGGAATGTGGGAGTTGCTGAAGCAGTGATGCAGAAGCACGACTTACTTCCTACTCTCAGGACACAACCAAAAGCCACTTGCAGCACTTGCAGTTGGATTGCCAGTCCCTTCAGGCCGCTAAGTGCGGTTCCAGTGGTTGCCTTTGCCCAGAGGACGGTGTTCATTGATGGCTCCATACCTGAGCGGCTCACCGCTTTTCAACTGGCTCAGGCATCTTGGCAACACAACTGCACATTCCCAAAGTGTAGAGTGTAGGGTTTTGAGGTTGCCGTCATGCAGCAGTTATCACACCATACTAGAAGGAAGGATCCTGCTTGGATACTGAGTTTGCATTGTGCATAGGACCAGAACGCAATATGAGCAATAGACATAACATTATACTATGTTAGCCTCTCTCGCCACATGCATGCATGCAACACACACACACATGGATGGATGGATGGATGGATGGATCGATAGATAGATAGACAGATGGATGGGTGGATAGATGGATGTTCACATACATACATACATACATACATACATACATACATACACACCTACCTACCTACCTACCTACCTACCTACCTACCTACCTACCTACCAGATACATTACATTACATAACATTACATAACATAACATACATAGATACATTGATACATTGATACATACATACATACATACATGGCTCAAGCCGTGAGTGGTCCAAGCAGGCACGCCCCACATAAAGCCCTGCTCGTGCGGCACCCCCAAGCACCACGTGTGCAAAACAAATACCAACACAGTCGCCGCCTTTGAGTTCCACCTGGGTGAGCGTCCTTTGCCCGCAATCCTCGAGATCTCCCTCCTCGCTTTTGCGGACCCCTACGGCAACTGGCAGAGCTCGCCTTGGACAACCTCATAGGCATCCTGCACAAGCTCCTCTATTCACCATCCGCCTTGGGGACATCTTGAACTACCTGATCACTTTGCCCGTGATCCCTACATCCTAAAGAACCTTCCAGGCCAGATCGTGTTCGGTGCCACAATCATGCAGTGGGGACGCAACTACATGACCTGCAGGCACTCAGAGTGTCGAAACTGGATCTGGGAGGACAAACTACGCCCTGGCACCCGCTGCAGGAAATGCGGCACATGGTGGCAGAACATGGCAGCCACAGGCAAAGGAAAAGGACAGGGCCATGGACAGCACAGAGCACCAAGCAAAGCTCAGCCCTGGCCACGCAAGCAGCCTGCAACTCAGGTTTTGGACACTCCTCCAGGACTACCACGGCTACGACCTCTCAAACAAAGCAAAGAGCATGCCTCAGCAGTTGAACTCATTGCCAGTACCTGGAGCGTCATTCCAGAGGGCATTCAAACTAAGCTTGCAGCACTAGGCTATGGCCCACAACCTCCCGAAGAACCCGAACTCACAGAGCTTCTCAAGAGCCACATGACTGCTCTTCCTCAAGAGGTGCAAGCTGTAGTCACGAAACTGACTCAGCCCATGCCAGACACCGAAAAAGAGCTGGCACACAAGCTGAAGGCGCAAGTTGGAGAATTGAAGACAGTGTCCATCAAGAAAAACCAACTCCAATCTCGTTTGGACCAGATCAAGTCACAGTATGCTGCTATGCTTCAAGACATGCAGGACTTGCAAACAAACCAAACTCAAGCAGTTGTCAGACCAGTACATGAAGGTCACCCAAACTCCCATGCCTGAAAGCCTTGAAGTTGAGGACAACAAGGATTTACCCATCCCCATGGCTGTTGAAACCTTTGTCACAAGTCTTGGGATCGACCTGACGGAGGACCAGAGGACACAACTTCATGGGCTCCTCAAACGACCACAGACAGAAGACGAGGACATCAACAAGCGCCGCAAGACTGACTCCACACCCACCCTGCCAGGGCTACAGTGTGGGTAACAGTCCCAACGCGGGTCAACACCTCCCAGCGTTTCAGGTGCCAATACCCTGGGAGGACTTTGAGGCATCACACCACTCACCGGTTTGCCGTGCTGCCTCCGGCTCAATCCAGCACGGCATTTCCTTCCAAGGTGCAGGGGACAAGACACCTTTTGACAGGAAGGAACAACTTTTTCAAGAAGAGGGACAGACAACACTTGGTGCAGGGGAAACCACCAACATGTTGCACACACAGGCATCACACATGAAGATGCACGATTTTGACACTACCATAGCACCAGCAACACCTGCGGATGGACTCTCCAGTGGGGCACCTGGAAACCACATCATAACCATCAAAGGTGGGGCCATTAATCTGCACAGCCAGATCGCCAAGGTCAGGAGACAGCCCAGGAATGCAAACTACCTATGCATCCACCACGGAATGCATTCTCCAAAACCTGTCCATGGCTATCGGGAATCCCAGCTCTCGTTGTTTTGCAAACGCACCATGGAGAGCTTTTACCTGGACATGCGGGCTCCTTCAGGAGACTCATACGGAGCCGTGGGGAACCTTGCATGCTGCAGTTCAAGAATCACTCGAACTGGCGGAGGCCGTGGACATTCAGCAGCTTCCTGGATTGCAAAGGCTGTGGAAGAAGCGTGACCTTAATGTCCAGGGTGACGCAAATCATTTCGTGAACACCGTGTGGAACCTGTCCCAGAGCAGAGCTTTCCACTACCGCTATGCAGAGATCAAAACCGGTGGCTACCTAGCTGATCATGTACAAGTTCCACTGCTGGTTGACTTTCCTCATGATTGGCCTGAAAACACCACGGCCCAATCCCTGATGAACGGATGGGCCAATGAAGGCCTGGGACAATACCTGCTTGATGACAAAGCCATCCTGGTCACGCACATCACCCGCAACACCACAGTTGACGGAGTGGCCACAAAGCACAAGAAGGTCCTGAACCCATATGGAACCCAGATCCATGGATGGTTTTGCAAGGGCCTCCACTGAGTTTGTCCCTGCAGCACTGATCTGCCATAGAGGAGCAAACCATGAAGCAGGCCACTACTTTGCCATCCTCATCTACCGCGACCGACTATGGCTGGCAGATGATGGCAGGGTCCCAACACACCTGCCCCACTTGACACCTCAACCTGCCAGTCAAGTGGTACAGGTCTGGGCGGCGCACATCGACGCATTCAGCACCACACAACAGATCATCCAACGACTACCACCACCTGAAGAACCAGACTTTGACCCACCACTCCACCCCAGTCCGGAGAAGAAGCCACGGCTCGAGCAAACGCACTGCAGAATACATTATGCCAACATCACCAATTTTGGCAGGCAAGTCACTGACTGGTACTGGACACGAACCAGCGAGCCCTATATCTTCGTGGAGACACATCTCGACCCACAACAGCATGAGCAAACCTGCCAGTACTACATTGTCAGAGGCCGCACTGCCTTTGGAACCCCAGCCTGGCCCAACAGTGACAAATCAGGCACCCATGGAGGCGTCCTGATTCTCGGAGACCACTCCAGCTGCCTCACACCGGTGGAATCCTTCACCCTTCAAGGCTGTGGCTACCAAGCTTTCTTGTGGCAGGCAACTGACTTGACCGTCCTCATTGCAGGCATCTATCTCCGCACCAACGAGGGCATACAAAGTGAGATCAATGCTACCATCATCTCCAAGCTACTCGCTTTACTGCAAGCCACAGCACATCCTTTCATTTTGATAGGAGACTGGCAAAACAAACCCAGTACAATTTCCAGTACGGTGCTGCCTTCAAAGTTCCACTTTGACATCCTGGCGCCAGATGTTAGCATGCTCTCAGGCAATGTCATCGATTTCAGCCTGATCCACACATCCCTCTCAGGCACCACAGCTCTTACCACTGACTGGGCAGTGCCATGGCGTCCACATGCACTACTAACGTTGCACCTGGACATTGACGCGGCCACAAAGAAATTCAGGCAAATCCAGTACTATCCACCTTTGCCACCGGTGCCTGACATCGACTTCAGACCTTGGACAACATTCCAATCCCAAGCCTATGAGCTCTGCCTCTACAACATCCCTGTTAACGAACCAGCGCAAGCCTGGGCCGACTGGCTCTCGTCCACGGAGCAGTACCTCTTGCAGGAGCACCCATGGGCGGCCAGAGGCAGGGGGGCAAACCTTGACGTGAGCATCAAGCCCTTGGCAGCACCAAAGCCAGGTGGCACCTGGAAAAAGGGCAGGGTTGCATTTTGGGAACAATTGCAGGCCAGATTCCGGCTAGCCCAACACCAGCCAATCACACAGGCCGGAGGGCCCACCAAAGGCTTCATGCGGGCCATCCGAGACATTCAGACCAAATGGTTGGGACCGCCCACATGGAGCCAATTCCTGGACACCTGCCATCACTGGCACACCTACAAAGATCAACATGCAGCTGATCTGATCCAGCATACAATGCAGCATCAGCAGCACGAAGCACAGCAGGCAGCCAATGATGAGTTGCATCTCCAGTACAAGACCTGGCTCACCCAAGGCCATGCCAAAGGCATCAAAGGGCTCTTCCGCAGCCTCAAAAGCAGCGAGGTGCCTTGGAAAAGACCATACAGAGACATTGAACCAGACAAGAGAATGAACCAACGCCTTGCCGACTGGGGAGCGCTGTGGCACATCAGAGAGGACAACAACCCGGCGCCAAGAACCAGCCTCAGAGAGCAAGCACAACGGCAGGCATTGGCACTACCACCCATCACCATGGGTTACTTCAGCAGAACCATCAAAGGGCTACCAGACAAAGCAAGCGGACCAGACGCGGTCTCAGCCCAACTACTTCGATCAGCACCACCATTAGCCCTGGGGCCTTTGCTCAAACTCACCCAGGAAATGGAACAAACTGCCCAGATGCCCACACAAATGCAAATGCACATGGTCGTTATGCTGGCCAAAAATCCAACCATAGAGCGGCCAATCACTTTGACCTCAACAATGTACCGCCTTTGGCGCCGGCTCCGCAAGCCCATCCTCGATGCCTGGCAAGCTGACCTCCCAGACTTTATGAATCACGACCGTGCCAGACCGGGAGCTCAGGTGCTACAGGTGGCATTAGAGCGGCTCCTGCGCCAAGAGGTCCATCGAGCCAACAAGCGCCACGGGGTGACCGTCCTCATGGACCTGTCAACCTTCTATGACACCATCAAACTACAGCAACTGCAAGACCAAGCCATGGCCATCAACTACCCACCCCTGATGCTCGAAATGGCCATGCAGTTGTACACCGGCCCCAAAGCAATAGTTGCAGAGCAGGAAATGACACCTTTCTTCCA